CAGGGGTCATTGCAACAGATAAGAAAATAATAGAAAATGGAAAATAATAGAAATAAAAGAATATACAGGGACGAAGGTATAGTTTTACAGATTTATAAAGATAAAAGGCAAAGCGGGGGTACTCAGGGGTCCTTATGAATATCCCTGTCAATTGTGAGGCCACAAGTGAAGTTTTACGTGGGTATTTATAGGTACAGAGATCGGTTGCCAGGGGTAACAGATTTACATAGTAACAGGTAGTTTGTTTTAGGTTAAAAGTCTTTGAAAAGGCTTCTATAGATCCCTTAATTAACTCTGCTTACAAAATCTTTCAAGGACAAACTTCTAAGATAAAAGCTATCACTTAACAGAATGGTTAAACAGAGATACAGTGGCTCCATATTTCTTTATCTAGTTATTGCAAATGGAGACAGGTGATTAGAAGGCAAGCAGGAACTGTCCCTTGGGCTAACTGTTTTTAGCCACAGGTGTCTGTCTCTTGGACGGGCACTCTTTGATCAGCTCTCATCCTGTGGCTCCCTGCAGACCTGCTTTGTCATTCAAAGCAGGTGAGAACCAGTTTTGAGACTGCAGCGTCACCTTGGAAAGCAGCTGCTGCTGACCTTTGAGATGCCCTCCTGAGGTGGAGCAGCTTTTGATATGCAAACTAACACAGTCACATATTCCTTCAGGGCAAAGTCCTGCAAAACTCCTGAGATCATTTCTGTCTCCAATATAGTAATATTAATTTATGGAGCGACATAGATGAATCTCAAACATGTAAATTAAGAGAAGCTAGACATAAGATATGTGCACTGTATGATTCCATTTGGATAAAATTCAAAAGTAGGCAAAACTAATCCATGGTGTTATAAACAGGACTGTACTGACCTTTGGGAAGGAGGTAAGTAGGTGGGAGGGAGAAGGAGGGAGTCTTCTAGGATGATGACAATATTTTGTTTCTTTTTTTTTTTTTTTGAGACAGAGTCTCTCTCTGTTGTCCTGGCTAGAGTGCAGTGGCATATAGATCACTGCAACCTCAAACTCCTGAGCTCCAGCAATCATCCTGCCTAGCCACCATGCTGTGCTAATTTTTTCTATTTTTAGTAGAGAGAGGATCTTGCTCAGGCTGGTCTCGAACTCCTAACCTTAAGCAATCCTCCAGTTCTGGCCTCTCAGAGATTGTTAGGATTACAGGTGTGAGCCACTGTACCTGGCCCAATATTGTTTCTTGATCAAGTGATGCT